GGGAGACTGCATGCTAATAGGGAGATTTTAAATTTGAAAAATGTTGTTTATGCATAATTCGTTCTAAGTTTAACTTCCTCATTTAGCTTCCTCATCGTGCTTCTTTAACATTTTAAAACAGTAAATGAAGACGAAATTATCACAGAAACGCGTTTTGATTTTTAGGAAAAATTGAACCATATTTTTATGTTTTTCTTAATTTTCTCTAAAATGGTATGGAAATTTGGAAAACTATAAAAGGAATTAGGCATTTTTGAACAAGCAGAAATTTTTATGAAGAATACATTTTTCTTAAAATGTCAATAATAAAAAAGTTTTTCCCCTTGTAAAGACAATAATTCGGGGATATACTGTAGATGAAAAATACAATTTCATAATTTTTAACCAATTTGTGTTTGGTTTGGTTTGGTTGTAGAAGAATTATTCTTAGTTTGCATCACGCAAGTCAGTTTTTTAAGAACAAATTTAACTTTTCCTAAAAAACTATAAATTTACTCAAAACATATTAACTAAATACAGGGTGGTCCGAACTGTATTCCGGAAACTCGGCAGCATATTCTGCAGATAAAAATAAAAGTAAAAAGTTCGCATCAATGTATGCCCTAAAATGCTTAGTTTTGGAGATACAGGGTGTAGAAGTTTCATTTTTATTTCAATTTGTTTTCAAATAATAATTATTGAACTAATGTCAATATTTGGATTAAAATTAGTGCCTGGATAGAAATTTTATTTGGATGGCAACATGACTTCTATTTGTAGGAGCCACACCTACATGTGTTTTAACTCTGAAGAGGAATAACTTTTCGTCCGTGCCTGTATAAAACTACTGACTGAAAAATATACATTTCCGTGATTTCTTACGAAAAAAATGTCTCTTGGTAAAAATCGCTACGAGTAACCGTTCTCAAGAATTGACTGAAACAATAAATTTGGGAACTTTTTATTTATTCAAATTAATCATAAATTCTTCATCGGAAAAATGATGATAAAACAGTTTCTGTTGAACTTTTGGCACAAACACATTTCAAATTTATGATTTCAGTCTAATAAATATTTAGTCAACATGTTTACATAATTTATGTCAATGATGACAAGTTGATAATTTTGATTCCAAATATCTCGTGAAGCCGATAATATTTTTTACGTAAAAAACGTCGTAAATGTATATTTTTTTAATCAGTAGTTTTGTACAGGTACGGACGAAAAGTTATTACTCTTCAAACAAAAAAAACTTTCTCATGTGAAAAAACTCCCAAATACCAATTTTCATTCAAATAGTGATGCTACTTCAGACATTATTTGGAAAAAATCGAAATAAAAATGAAACTTCTACACCTTGTATCTCCGAAACGAAGCATTTTGAGACATACATTTATACGAACTTTTCTACTTATTCCTATCTGCAGAATATGTTGCCGAAGTTTCCGAAATACAATTCGGACCACCTTGTATATGAGTACATGGGTACTAGATAAATATTTGACTGGCAAATGGGATTCCATCAGTAATTTTTGCTTCTATCACGAGAATCGGCTATCACAAAAATCACCAAAAAATGACATCTAGATAGCTGAAAATTGGCATATTCATGTAAAGTTAAAAATGAAAAAACTCTTTCAAAATAATTTTTCGAAATTCTGCCAAGAGACCAATTGTTTAGTCATTTATTACTTTAATGTCAAATTTGACAGAAACCCGAGAGCAACAGGCGAAATTTTCTGATATTCAAATATAAATCAAAGCAGGAACTATTGCCAGAGAATTTTTACCTAAGTTAATAAATAAGAAGAAGATCTGTGATACTGCATATACTTTTTAGAATAATGCTAGATAATATTCGTTGTGAAAATTTAAAATGTTTAATATAATTATTTTCTTCAATATACACTATGATTAACAAAAGATGTGTGTTTAAAATTATCTAAACAATTCCCTTCTAGCTGTTTAATAAATTTCTAATACTCAGACTAATACAGTGCATAATTTTTCTAGGACTGCGGAACTCCCCCATTTTACAACAAAGCGAGTCGAATGAATTTAATAGCAACAGCAACAACCCGGAAAATATCTTAGAATGCAGTGGCAGTCTATTTGAAGTACCTAGTTTTAATACCAGTTTCGAATTAATCGATACGAAGCCAAATATTGATGAAATATCGATATCAGAAACCTCCATCGAAATTTTAGATGAGACGACCAAAGAATTTGACAAGAGTAACATACACATACGATCGAGAAAGGCATTAGATGAAACCTTTTGTTGTCTTTGCAAAACGAAAGTTTCACATTTTTCCAGACACCTTAGCAGACGCCATAGCGAAAATCGCGAAGTCAAACAGATATTATCACTACCATTGAAAAATAAACTGAGACTTATGCTGATCGGGAATTTGCGGAAAAGAGGCAACCATCTGATGTACACGATAAATAAAAAAATTACACCTGTCAAAAGGTCTAGAAAATTATTGAATTCCAACGAATATTTACCTTGCAAGTACTGCCTAGGTTACTACAGACAAATCTACCTTCACAAACACATTATTAAGCATCACGGTAAAAGCAGTTCCACGTGGGTACGTCACAAAATTGAGGCTCAAAACATACTTGTTGACCACCTACCCATCGACAGTCTACTTAAAAGTGTGGTCTTTCCTAAAATGCGACCTGACATTTGTTCTCTGACTGCCAAGAGAGATCCCCTCATCTGTCAGTATGGATCGTCGTATCTGAAACGTAACCCACAAGGCTCCTTTGTTTGTAATCAGAGAATGAGACAACTGGCCAGGTTATTGATGGAAATGCAAAAACGAAATTCTGCCGTTAAGACTCTGGATGACGCACTGCAACCAAAATATAATAGTATTCTTATCGACAGCATTAAATGTACACTAAAAAGGCACGCTTCTTTGTATGGATGTATTAGGGGATGCTATAATCTGCTTGCATCTAATTTTGATGATCAGAGAAAGGCAAAAATCATTCAATATAAAAGTAAGTTTGAGAAAACTTGGCCTTTTGCTCGTTCTGATGTTTCTAAACAGTTTGAATCTAATAATATAAATATGCTTATTCTAACTGAATATTTAAAGGTATTTAAGGCATATCTGGCAAAGGAAACCAAAGCTGCTGCAAATCTTTTAGAACGTAAGAAAGATGATACTTTCGCGTATCAAATCTTGTTAGAGACTGTTTTTTGTACGATTGTATTATTCAATAGATTAGAAATCGATAAAATTGCAACACTACCTTATCAGATATTTAAAGAAGCTAGTTTTGAGAACACCAGATCTGAGGGAAGTGATAGGTTAACTGATCAAGTATTGTCGAGGAGTTTAAAGAAAGTAGTACTACAGGAAGGAGACGTACGTATTTTATTTACATCTGAACTTGAAAATCAAATAAAACTTCTTATAAGTTTGAGAGCGAATCATGTGTCAGATCGTTCGAACCATTATTTATTTTCTGAACTTAACTCGGATGACGCAATTTTTGGATATGACGTAGTTGAGAAACATCTAAAAACATCAGGAGTACCGAATACAAATGTAATGATTTTGCCAAGTTTACAAGAATCGATTGTAGATCTTATGCACATTCTACACATGGGTGCTACCGAGATTAATCATTTGTTATCCACTATGGGGCTTATTATTGATGATAATGATGACTATGAAATTAACGACGTTTTTGGAATTGCTAAAATAGCCAAAATTCTTGGTGGTATTGAACAGGATCAAGGCGACATGTTCTTGGGAAAATCTTTAAATGATATACAAGTCAATGTAGAGGAAAATCTATTAGCTAGTAATGATGAAACATCTGAAAGATCTGACGACGATGCCAATAAAGCCACCTCAACATCTGCGAATATCCAAAATATTGACACTAATAAAAAGAAAATTCAGAGGACTTATGAAACTTGTCAAACATCTGACAATGATATTAATGATACCAATCTGGATGTTAAAGATACAAATGTGAATATTAAAGATACCAATGTGAATATTAAAGATACCAATGTGGATGTTAAAGATGTGAATGTAGATGCATCGTCATCCAAAGATGTTCGGAAAATAATTACTAATAAAAAGAGAATTAAAAAGAGGAGGTTGGTACCCTGGAGTGAAATGCAAAAAAGATTGACTCAAGAATTTTTTAGCCAGCATATTGTCAATAGAAAACCACCTAAGAGGAGCGAATGTGAATTGTTAAAAATACAGAATCCAAGTGTTTTTGACAATAAAACTTGGGAGCAGATAAAAGTATACATTCAAAATGTTTATAGTCGAAAATCGCAAATGTTATGGTTAGTTCCAAAGCAAAAGCAATAGTTATAAATAGAGTTTTATCTTGATGCATATCTTGTATGGATGTACTTATTTATATTATTATTAATAATAATTCTAGATGATATTTCTACATATATGCATAAAGTATAGCATGTATATATTTTTAAGTTAATTACTTTTAATGTATAGTACCAAAGAATATTATACTAATAATATACTTTGATAGTACTAAGAATATATATTGAAGTAAAATTAAGTTTAAATAATATAAATATAATAAAAAATATGTTTTTTGTAATTGTTTATTTATTGTTATTATTTTCATATGTTGGGAAGAGATGATTTATAAGTATTTAACTATCTTAGTGCCACAATGTTTCTTTTGAAGAACACTTCAAAATGTCGCAAAAGTCTACAACTAATTTTGTGTAAACACATAACCTCAGTTCCTTGAAAACATTTTTTAATTCGATTTTTTATTTTTAATATAGGTTGATCAAACTAATATAACTTCATTTATTTTAGGGCTGCTAAACTACAATCTGTCTGCTAAATTACAGTCTACCACCGAGAATTCGACATATTGGTCAAAATGCAGTGACATTTTATGCCAAATGCAAATTTTGGACTCCAAGTCAGACCTAGTTGATATAAAGCCAAACATCGACGAAATATCAGTATCGGAAACCTCCATCCAAAAGCCAGATTTAGACACCGATACAAAGATTCCATTGAGTAGTTTAGTTGATGTCGTCACAAAACCAAAACCTAAACGTTCGGTAATACCCATCTCTACATTTTGTTATTTCTGCAAAAAGAAAGTTTTCAATTTTGTTAGACACATAACTACATATCATACAGACAATCCCGAGGTGCAGAAGATAATGTCTCTTCCGTTGAGAGGCAAAATTAAGCTGATAGAAAATCTACGAGAACGTGGAAATCATCTGTTCTACGCTCTGCGTAACTGCGTGACTTCTGTCAAATCAATTAAAAAATTTAATTCGTTGGAATATTTTCGTTGTAAATATTGCCTGCAATACTACAGGCCAGCCTACTTTCAAAGACATATTGCTATGAATCATGTGACGCGCAGTGCTTTCAAGGTAGGTCATAAAGTTTATCATCAAAACATTCTTGTTGGTCATCGGGCCATCGACAGCAACCCTAAAAGTGTTGTTTTTCCTAAAAATTCAATTGACTTTTGTTCTCTAATTGCTCAACGAGATCCTCTCATTTGGAAGTACGGACGGTACTATATGAATCATAATCAAAAAGACGAATTCATTTGTAATCAACAAATGAGACATCTGGCCAGGCTGTTGATAGAAATGCAAAAACGAAATTCTGCAGTTAAAAATTTAAAAGACGCACTTTATCCAAAATACAACGTTATCCTCTTCGACAGCATTAAAGATTCGATAAATGAACATGCAGTTTTATACGGATGTATTATGAGATGCTACGATCTGCTCGCATCTAGTTTTAGTAATCTGAAAAAAGCAGAAATCATTAATTATAAAAGCAAGTTTGACAAGAATTGGCCTTTTGCTCGTTCTTATGTTTGTAAACCGAATGTAACTATGTTAAGTTTGGCTGAAAATGTAAAGCTATTTAAGGAATACCTCTTAAAGGAAACCAAACATGCAATAGATCTTCTCAAAAAGAATAAAACTAATAAATCGGCGTATCAACTCTTGCTGGAGATTGTATTTTGTACGATGGCGCTTTTCAATAGATTAAAAATTGGCGAAATTGCAACATTACCTTATCAATTATTTATTGAAAATAGTTTTGAAAATATTAAGTCCGAGAAATGTAATAAACTCACTGAACAAGTTTTATCTAGGCGTATAAAAAAAGTAACACTAAAGAAAAAAAAATTACGTGTTTTGTTTACATCTGAACTTGAACAATATATAAGACTTCTTTTAAATTTAAGAGCAAATTATGTGTCAGTACCGCCAAACGATTATCTATTTTTTCAACTAGATTCTGAAACTCCAATTTCTGCACACAGTGTAATGGAGAAACATCTAAATAGGTCGGAAATACCGAATACAAATGTGATGGTTTCGTCAAACTTGCAAGAATCTATTGTAAGTCTTATGCACATTCTACATATGAGTACTAGTGATATACGTCGTTTAATGTCGTTGATGGGGCTGGTACCCAGTGATGATGATAATTATCAGAATGACGACTTGCTTAAAATTGCTAATTTAGCCAAAATTCTTACTAAAATCGAACAGGGTGGAGACGACAAGTTTTTAGGAAAGACTTTAAATAATATATCAGTAAATATAGATGAAAGCCTACTACCTAATATTGAAATAAAAAATCTGAGAACAAGGTTAATAAATAAGCTGGCAAATATGAAAAACACCAACACCAAGAAAAAAGGATCAAAGAAAAATAAATAGGATAGCCTTTAGTAAAATGCAAAAAAGATTAGTTTAAGAATTATTAAAAAATGTATTTTTTACCTTATTTATGAAAATAAGTCTAGGGCCTAGGGTATATTATATTTTTAAAAAGCTCATGAAAATTAAATTTTTATCACACAGATTTTTTCTTGAGAAAAGTATTGCAAAAACTTCCCATTAAGTTTATTACAAATCATGGTAATTAATTTTAAGTAAAACATATTATGAGATATGTGTTTTTTTACTTACCCAAACTTTTATTATTATTTTTACATATAGTTCAAACTCAAATTCTTAAGTATTGTAAGAAATTCCCATTAAGTTTATTGCAAATCATGGTAATTAATTTTAAGTAAAACATATTATGAGATTTGTGTTTTTTTATTTACCCAAATTTTTCTTATTATTTTTACATATAGTAAAAACTCAATTTTTTAGTATTGTAAAAACTTCCCATTAAGTTTATTGCAAATCATGGTAATTAATTTTAAGTAAAACATATTATGAGATTGGTGTTTTTTTTACTTACCCAAACTTTTTTTTATTATTTTTACATATAGTTCAAACTCAAATTCTTAAGTATTGTAAAAACATCCCATTAAGTTTTTTGCAAATCATGGTAATTAATTTTAAGTAAAACATATTATGAGATTGGTGTTTTTTTTACTTACCCAAACTTTTTTTATTATTTTTACATATAGTTCAAACTCAAATTGTTAAGTATTGTAAAAACATCCCATTAAGCTTATTGCAAATCATGGTCATTAATTTTAAGTAAAACATATTATGAGATTTGTGTTTTTTTACTTACCAAAACTCATTTTATTATTTTTACATATAGTTCAAACTCAAATTCTTAAGTATTGTAAAAACTTCCCATTAAGTTTATTGGAAATCATGGTAATTAATTTTAAGTAAAACATATGAGATTGGTGTTTTTTTTACTTACCCAAACTTTTTTATTATTTTTTTACATATAGTTCAAATTCAAATTCTTAAGTATTGTAAAAACATCCCATTAAGTTTATTGCCAATCATGGTAATTAATTTTAAGTAAAACATATGAGATTTGTGTTTTTTTACTTACCCAAACTTTTTTTATTTTTTACATATAGTTCAAACTCAAATTCTTTAGTATTACAAAAACATCCCATTAAGTTTATTGCAAATCATGGTAATTAATTTTAAGTAAAACATATTATGAGATTGGTGTTTTTTTTACTTACCCAAACTTTTTTTATTATTTTTACATATAGTTCAAACTCAAATTGTTAAGTATTGTAAAAACATCCCATTAAGCTTATTGCAAATCATGGTCATTAATTTTAAGTAAAACATATTATGAGATTTGTGTTTTTTTTACTTACCCAAACTCTTTATTATTTTTACATATAGTTCAAACTCAAATTCTTAAGTATTGTTAAAACTTCCCATTAAGTTTATTGCAAATCATGGTAATTAATTTTAAGTAAAACATATTATGAGATATGTGTTTTTTTACTTACCCAAACTTTTTTTATTATTTTTACATATAGTTCAAACTCAAATTCTTAAGTATTGTAAGAAATTCCCATTAAGTTTATTGCAAATCATGGTAATTAATTTTAAGTAAAACATATTATGAGATTGGTGTTTTTTTTGCTTACCCAAACTTTTTTTTATTATTTTTACATATAGTTCAAACTCAAATTCTAAGTATTGTAAAAACTTTCCATTAAGTTTATTGCAAATCATGGTAATTAATTTTAAGTAAAACATATTATGAGATTTGTGTTTTTTACTTACCCAAACTTCTTTTATTATTTTTACATATAGTTCCAACTCAAATTCTTAAGTATTGTAAAACTTCCCATTAAGTTTATTGCTAGAATGTTCATGGTAATTAATTTTAAGTAAAACATATGAGATTTGTGTGTTTTTTTATTTACCCAAACTTTTATTATTTTTACATATAGTTCAAACCCAATTTTTTAAGTATTGTAAAAACTTCCCATTAAGTTTATTGCAAATCATGGTAATTAATTATAATTTATTATTTTTAACAGAACGTCAACGGTTTTTGTAGACGTATCTGTTTAAAAAAAATAAAGTGTTCTCGAATAGTTGAATTTAAATATTTTAAATAGTTTTTCTTTTATTCCTTGTATTTTTTTCTTCCGACGATGGAAAGAGATAAACTTCCCGAAACGTTAAGCATTTTTTGTTCGTTAGGCAAATTTTTATATCTGTAAACCTAACTTCTGACAAGTAGTTTCCGTTTGGATCAACGCAGAAGTGTTTACAAAAAATAACTATTTTATTTTGTAGATTTTGTTGCAGTGGCGAAATACCTATATAGGATTTTTTGGAAAGATGAATCCGTCACATAGGTATAGTTATTTTTAATTAATTTTAAGTAAAACATGAGATTTGTGTTTTTTTTAATTACCCAAACCATTTTTTATTATTTTTACATATAGTTCAAACTTGTATATTTTTAGGACTACTAAATTGTGCGAATCTATAACAAAACAACTGGTATCAATTTAACACCGAGACCTCAACAGATGCAATAAAAAGCAATGACAGTTTGTCTCAAATAAAAATTCTGGACATCAGGTCAGTCCTAACTGAAACTCAGCCAAACATCGATGAAATATCAATACCAGAAACATCCATTCATATAGTAGATCTAAGAATTCCATCGAATAGTTTAATTGGTGCAGATTCACAAGAGTTTGATGACAATACCAAATTCAAACTGGAATATTCAACGGAAACCTTTTGTTGTTTTTGCAAATCGAACGTTACGAATTTTGATAGACACATTAATAGACAGCATAGAGACAATCCCGAGGTGCAGGAGATAATGTCTCTTCCATTAGAACACAAACTGAGAGTTATGTTGATAAGAAATCTGCGAGAACGAGGAAATTATTTATTGGACTCCATGAATACATGCACGACGACCGAATTATTTGATCCCAATGAATACTTGGCTTGCCAGTATAGCCTATACTGCGAAGACAGTGTTGTTGATCAGTCATTACCCATCAGCGAACAACTTAAAACTGATATTTTTCCTAAAATGCGACCAGATCTCTGTTCAAAGGTCACCAAGGAAGATACTCTTATCTGCAAATACGGATCCTGGTATCTAGAAAATATTTCTTCAGGTCTCCAAAAGATCTCAACGCTGCGGATGAGAGAACTGGCCAAATTGTTGATGGAGATTCAAGAAAGAAATTCCAATATTAAAGATCTAGAAGATGCTCTTCAACTAAAATACTTCAATTTTATAGTGGACAGCATAAAATATTTAGTAAACAGTTCTAAAATTCTGTATGATTCTATTAAGAAATGTTGTGAACTGATATCACCAGATCTTACTGGTCACAGAAAAAGAGAAGTGGAGAAGATTAAAGAATATTTGAAACTAAATTTTCTTGTAATAGAATTAGTACTTATAAATCTCTTAAATCTAATGGCATTACTATGTTAAATTTGGCAGAAAATATAAGTATTTTTAAAATATATGTTTTAAATGTAGCTAATGAAGCTGTAGAAGTATTAAAAGACAAGAATGGTGATAAAGAGGCATATCAAGCATTATTAGAAACTGTATTTTGTATGATGGTATTCTTCAACAGACTAAAAATCGATGATGTTGCTAAACTACCTTATCAGATATTTAACTAAACAGTTAAATTCACTGATCAAGTTTTAACACATTTAATAGAGTAGTAGTTATAAAAATAAACGAAACTACACAGGTTTATTCAATAACGAATTATATATCCAACCCGTCAAATTCGTTTTTATTTCTCGAAGTAGAGCAAAACGTTCCAGTTTCTGGACATGAAATAGTTGATAAATACTTAGAGAAGTGTGGATTTTCCATTACATCAAGAATATTATCAGCAGAATTGTCAGAATACGTTGCGACTGTCATGCATATTTTACACATGAACTCTGCTGAAGTCGATCAGTTGATATCTTTAACTGGAGTTGTAAATGACCTGTACGATTATGATCCCGACGATGCCCTTAGAGTTGCTAAAATTACCAAATTGGTTACTATAGTTGAAAAAGGTGGAGCCAAATATACAGGAAAAAAATTAGATGAAATAGATATAAATATTGAAGAAAATCTACTCACTGATGATGTTGAAACTGCTGTTCCAGTTAAGATTAAAACCAGAAATGTCAAAAATGTTGACGTTAGTAACATTTCAGAAAAAAAGATAGTAATAGGTAAAAGTGCAAAGAGGAAGAAAGTGGTCAAGATACCTTGGACTGAAATGCAGAGGAGTTTGGCTCAAGAGTTTTTCTTTGATCATGTCATGAAAAAGAAGTCACCCAAGAGAGCAGAAGTCGATTTGTTAAAGCTTAAATATCCAGGTGTTTTCGAAAATAAAACTTTTGAACAGATTAAAGTTTTCGTACAGAATATCTACTGCAATAAGTATCAGCATCTAAACATATTGACTATGAGGAAATAAGTATAAGTAATGTAAGTATAGTAAGATGATGTGGCATGTCATGTTGAACTCTCTTTAAGTATTAGTATACTGGGTTCATGGCCAGGTACAAACTAAATACCAAAGACACAATATTTTTATTATCTTGTCAATAATTATGGAAATAGTTAGATTAATGCTACTACTACACTAAATCTTATACCAGACTTATATTAGGTATCTTATTTGAGATATTCACTCGATTATTTTATAAAATATCTAGGCAATCATTAGAGCACACTTCCAAATATTTAACTGTTAATATCATAATTTCGCATAATTTATACCGAGTGGTGCCTGAAATATGGTCATTATTAGATTAAATTTTATGTACTTCTATAGCTTTTTAAATATAAGGAAATTGCAAATTATATACAGTGCTTTCATTTTAATTTGTCCCACTTTTAAAAGGCTGAAAAATATTTATTTTTTGAGTTAAAAGGTTGAGTGAAAAAAGAAGTTATAGTTTTGTTGTTAGTGTTTTTTGTTAAGTTTTATGCCGTTGAGTCAAAAATTGTATAAACTGTCAACCGTCAAAATTATTGACATAACTTACTTTTTTTTAAATAGTACATCCCAGGGGCGGGAAAGTGAAATAGCCTTTGAAATAGCAAAAGCGGTTCCACCGTTTCCACGGAAATCTCAAATAAAATAGTTCCAGCCCTAGCCACTAGGTGGTAGTGATTAATTTTTAGGTTAAGAAGTTGCTACTAGTTATTGCCAGATGGCGTTAAATCAGAATTTTTTTGTAGTTTCCATACTTTCCAACGGCCATTGTCATATTATTGTCAATTTCTCAAAAAATATTGTCGTTGTCATAGCGCCAATCATAATATTATCAAATAAATGATTATCAAAACGTTTTTCAAACTATAATTTGTTATATGTGTTTAATTAGACAATTCCTTTTGTTTGTGGCCCTAAAAATATAATGTAAGTCTTTTATTTTTGCCATCATTTAAGTACCTATTTAGATTTACTCCATTTACAAAACTTTGGGCGTATTACGTTGCTCTTGTTTTATTATAACAAACGATGTTTAATTCATAGAATTTCACAGATAATTTAAGTATGTAATAAAAAAGGGGGGTACCCATTTAAAATAAGAAAGTTGTTGTCAACTTCCTGTCTTTCCGGAAGTGCCGCCATAGTAAAAATATTTTTAATCGATAGATCTCATTGTAAAACTATGATGTGCAAAAAATCTCCGAGCTAGATGTTGTAGTTCTCTAGAAACTTCTAATGCACAGCCTGGGACACCCTGTATATCAGTTATTGAAATATAACATCATTTTGTATATTTAAAAAATAACCGTCTTTTCAATTGCATAACCCCTAAACTTCCGCCGATACGTCCTCTTCCCGTCCTTCCTCCCCCTACGACCCCCCGTAGACCTCGTCGGCGTCCACGTGCTCCCCTCCAAGGCGCAGGATTTCTCCTCCTCACCCTCCCCAGAACTCCCGGCCGTGCCGCCAGTCGTCTGCAACCCTCCGTAGCGCTCCATCCTGCGCGTCTATCGGCCCCACGTCCCGGTGCTCCTCACCTGCTGCTGGCTGGTACGTGTTTTGGCGCGCCGCGCGACGAACCGAACGATACCGGACCGTAGGTGATGATCGATAAGGGAGACTGGTCGCGAGCCGAGTGGGAAACTCGCTGCGAGCCCACGGTTTGATTTGTTGCGATCCGGAGGACGATGGGTGATGGTGGTGGTGTTTGGTGGGGGTATGGCGGGAAGTGCTGAGACGAAGACTGGACGAAAGACTTTCGAGTATCGGATGACATGAGTGTGGTGGCGGTGTCGCTTTTGCATCTTCTATGTTGATGAGGCTTCGGACGAGAAATGAAATAATGGTGAGCCTATAGATGGACATTTATTTTTAAACTTGTAAATTACATTTGAAGAGTCCATGGTAAAAACATGATAAGCGCTAATTTCTTAATTTTAGGGTTGGTTTTACAATATTATAGTAGGTCTAACTGGTCTCAGCAAAAACTCTGCAGAGAAATAAGCTGTTAAATCCTATGATATAGGGTGAATATGCCAGTGGTCGGACAGTTTTGAAAAAGCTGCCCAAGTAGCATTTGGATGTTATCGAACATCGGGTATACGTCGCGTTCAATATACCCGACGTCGGTCGGGTACCAACGTCGGTTCGACCACCGGACGACACTTATTTGCACCTAAATGGGCAATACAGATTCGGGTCGCCTCGACGTCGGTATCTGACCTAATAGGGAATGTAATTCTACCAATTACCAACGTCATATTACGTTGGATTTTAGGAACTTAAAATTCGTCGCTAAGTTACATCTGGTTTCAAATTCGCTACCAAGAATACATAAAAACCTAACCAAACTACCTAATTACAAATGGATTCATAATCACTCCTCGAATATAAGTATAAGTGCCTACCTAATTTCATATTATAATAATTCTGAATCATTAATCCAGACATCAGTTTCGTCAACGGAAGTCACTTTTTTGATATATCTGATTAAAATACTCCGGAAAACAACGAGCGCCTTCAAAATTAGGTAGATTTAAGAAATAAAAATATCTATAAAAAAGTAACTCGCAAAATATTTTTTTTTATTTTCTAGCTGGTTTAATCATAAAACTGTACTGTGGTTCCCCCCAAACTCAACTTTATCAATATTATTCTACTAGAAATCGGAATGTGAATATAAATTTTAAAAACAAAAAATGATTTTAAAATGGTTGACAATCGGATACTTGTTAAGAATGGCGGATTTCTGTGTCCGACTTAATATGAACTACCAATATACCAATTCCGACCGGGTCTCCAACATTAGTCGTCTCACACGACCGAAGTCATCAAATCGGACGACCGGCAATCGTATTATGACGTATATAATTCCAACGTACGCAACGTAAAATTTGCGATCGGCCGGCAGACGTAGGAGCATCCGTCGTCGGCCACAGAGCATATAATTTTTCGTATTCCTGGTAAACGATTCCCGACGTTGTCTGTTATTGGTCTATGATAGGTCAATTGTTTGTTGTCAAAAAATGTCTGACTGTCGACGGTTCAACGGTTTCGTAGGCGTAACCCATGGCGTAACCTCACTTTGCGTATCAGTGATTTGTGGATTTGTGCAATTATATTTTAGTTTTTGTTTTCACCTTAAAAAAATTGGCAGCCACTTTTTTAAGATAGTATATATACAAAATTTAAAAGAATTGGAACCAGTACCTCACATGTGGGAGGAGGCTGGGGTCTACTGGTTTCCTAAGCTAAAAAAAGAAATTAAGATGCACCAGTGTAATGCAGCATCTCTTCCGGATAACAAGCATTCGTGGGTGGAGGCAAGACATCACTACTACTATTATTATTTTGCAAAACCTTGACCTCTTTCTGTAAAATGTAGATGAATATCTAAATGCCTTTTTAGTGTTTTTAGGCATAATAAAAAAAATTAAGTTTGTTTACAAAAACTGTTTATTAGGTTATGTTCATGATATTCATTAGGCCGCAAATGCAACTTAATGGGTTGTATTTACGGACGTAAATAGAGATACGTAAATTAGGTTATAAATATGAACATAAAATACAACAAAATATAATTGGACGTTACTTTAGGGATTATCAGTGAGACGTATCCTATTGGGACAACGCACAATGCTTCGTCCCATGGACAAAAATCGAAAAAAAAAAAGTTAAAATGTATTAATATCTGAATATGTAATTATATACTTATAGCAATGTTCAACCATCCTGTATATTATTTTTCATAAATAGCGTTTTTTGTTAGCAAATATTTTCACTAAAAATAAATTTTGCGATCACTATCTTATCAGTGAAAGAATAACATAGAGTTAAACGGTACGTACTTAATTGAAAACCACTATGGATATTGTTAAACAAGGAATGTACTTTAAATTTATTTCTAAACAGGTTCGTGATTGTTTAGTTTTGATTTATTTTTTAAGATGATTCTTAAATGGGTATAAAAATTTTACGTTTTCAAACTTCAAAAAGGCATTTAAAAAAAACATATCAAAACATATCGTATTTATTGAATATTTTTGTTGCCATATTCATACACTTTTAATTTTTGTATAGTTCACCTGCGTCTGCTTGCGACGAACTTTATTTTATAATACTTTTCAGATGGAGGAAAATTGATAAGCAATGCCGATCTGGTTAATACTTGGCTTGATCATAAGGACAAGTACTCAAAATTATTTGTATTTCAAAAAATGTGTTCTTTATTAGATATTGATGAACCTTCCAGTCAAATGAGACACCACTTGTGCCTGAAAAAGCCCACTATGTTGGAGCGAAACGTCGCATAAAAATTTTCCAATTTTCAATTTATTATAAAACCTCATACCCAAGAAAAGGAAAAAATAATATATGGATATGGTCTATTAAAGAGGTAACTATTAATATCCGAGCCCCTCATACCAGCAAGAAGAACAGTAACAACGCGAAAAATTAACTTATTAGAAAATGATGTACAGAAATATCTTATATGTGAGGATACTTCATCTACCTGTGATTTGGATACTATAAATTTGGAAGATTCTGTCAGCAGTGATTCTTCTGAATCAGAGTAGTTACGATCTATGCATTTTGTTGTCCTAAAGTAAATTTATAGTATCTTAAGTTTTTTTTTTAATTAAATATAACATTAATGTTTCTTTTTCATTAAAGAAAAACATATTTATCTTATATTAGGCTTATATTGTAGGAATCATGTTCTAATATTATTTCAATTCTTTTTTATCACAGGGATTTATTTGATACTTACACCGTTTTCATACTATAAATTATTATTTCCTTAGATGGAACACAGCTCCAACATTTTTATTATTTATAAGATTTTTTCATAAACGTGGGACTAAGAACATCATCATTTAGTACAATGAGAGTACTCATCATTTGTGTCAAATAAACCTAGTTTGAATAAATTGCCTACTAGAATTTTTAGAATTTAGAATGAGTGGGAGGGGGGTTAATCACTTCGACCTTACAGATCCATTGTGTCCCTCTTAGTAGGTATGGGGGCACCTTAGACAGACAGCCACTTCCGGTCCAGACACCTAATTCCAGGAACCCAATCAGATAAGAACATGTAAAAATACGTTAATAAATAAGAATAAACAGGTTTGAGCCGTGGTGAACCGCTTTAAAACAGAAATAAACAGGTCTAAACAAAAAATGAACAGGTCTGTTTTTTCATAAACGTGGGACTAAGAACATCATCATTTAGTACAATGAGAGTACTCATCATTTGTGTCAAATAAACCTAGTTTGAATAAATTGCCTACTAGAATTTTTAGAATTTAGAATGAGTGGGAGGGGGGTTAATCACTTCGACCTTACAGATCCATTGTGTCCCCCTTTCTTGAATCATAACTCATCATACACTCCCAGGGCTTTGACAAAAGCCAGTATCTGGGACCGTTTGCCTACTATAAAAGAGAAGTTTTGCATTTTTGTTCTCTAGAGCCATATGTTCGAAGCACTGTGCAACGGGTAGACGTCGGGCTAGTTCAAGTATATGTACGTCGTGCAAGCCAACGTGGGAACGACGTTGGGAAATTAATAAAAATGGTACGTTGTTATTTTGTACGTCGACAGATCGTTGAATTTACCGACTCGGATCCAACGACGTCGCTTTTAATAGAAAAGCGACGTCACCGGTCGTATCACCAGCATCCGACCTAAATTTGCATAAAGTCTGACGTCGCTTCAGGTCAGATTTAGTTCGAACTCAGATAGATGCTACTTGGGTGGGTTTGAATTGTTGATTATTTTTTTTTATTAAAGCATCTAGGTCATTTGCTAGCTCAGAATTAGAATTATTAGAGTTAAGCAACTCGCATTTTCATTGGAGGACATCGTCATATTTATTTCAAACCAATAATCAACGAGAATATTCGTATAATTTAACAAAATAACTGTAAACCGCTATAAATACGAATTGTTGGTTAGGTTCAAAAATGTTTCTCTTCAAATTTAAGCGTTAACATTTTCAGGCATTTGCATAAAATTTTGTATTTTTGATGGTATTCCACAAAATTTGCAGGCTATTGAGCAAACAGAAAATGTACAGTGCTTTCATTTTAATTTGTCCCACTTTTAAAGGGCTGTAAAATATTTATTTTTTGAGTTAAAATGTCGAATGAAAAAAGAAATTGTAGTGTTTTTCGTTAAGTTTTATGCCGTTGAGTCAAAAATTATTGTATAAACTGTCAAATGTCAAAATTATTGACATAACTTACTTTTATTTTGGTACACCCTATATATTATGAAATATATCGTGAGATATTTAAAAATACTTTTTTTTTCTGATTACGAAAATATGCCACACTTGCCCTTTCTTTTCAGTAGTTTAGCGCAAATTCGTATAAATATGATTAAAATGTAAAAATTGTACAATTCTTGGAAACAAAATAATAAACACGGGTATCTTAATGTTGAAAAATTATAATTTTAATCATATTTATACGAATTTGCGCTAAACTAATGAAAAGAAAGGGCAAGTGTGGCATATTTTCGTAATCAGGAAAAAAAGTCTTTTTAAATGTTTAATGATATATAGGGTGTACCATTTAAAAAAAGTAAGTTATGTCAATAATTTTGACATTTGACAGTTTATACAACTTTTGACTCAATGGCAAAAAACTTAACGAAAAACACTACAATTTCTTTTTTTTTACTCAACCTTTTAACTAAAACAACAAATATTTTGCAGCCTTTTAAAAGTGGGACAGATTAAAATGAATGAACTGTACAGATTACAGAAATAAATTGAGAATAATATTTATCAATATGCGCACATAGTGCACACACTGTTTTTTTTTTAAATTAAGTTTATAA